GAGGATCGGTAGAGTAAATCTCCCACTCCAAAATGAATGAGGTTCGGTAGAGCATATCTCCCACTCAGAGGATCGGTAGAGGAAATCTCCCACTCCCTAAGTCGGCCAGATGCACAAAGCTGGCAGCATATTCAAATTTTCCCTTTTTTTTTCTCTCTTAAAGGTTTTTTTTTTTTTTTTTTTTTTTGTCTTTTTTTTTTTGTCTTTTTTTTTTTGTCTTTTTTTTTTTGTCTTTTGTTTTTTTGCTTTTTCTTTTTTTGTATGTATGTCTTGGTTTTGTCTTTTTTTTTGTCTCCTTTTCTTTTTGTCTCCTGTTTCATAGATATAAGATGTATCCTCCATACATTAATCCAGGCCGTGCCGTAAGTCAATTGTAGATGGACTAGTAGGCGCCCGTGTAGACTTGATCGCTTCGCGTCGTTGAAACCTCTAGTGATGTGTTTGCTTCGGCTGTGACGGACAAATTTGGTCATAAGCAGGCTCATACCGTGCCAAATTGGCGGCGGCGGCTTTTGGCTTTGGTCCAGTTTCGGCCGTTAGATGAAACCCTCCTGATTGCCACCGTGACAATAAGGCCTGTAGCGTCTGCTGTACATGTGTGTGAGCATCCAAAGCTGGACGCGGCCAATCTCGGCTTTCACAACAAGATTGTGAGCGGCCGAATATGTGCGATTTGGCGACGTTCTTGAACGCGTGGCACTCCGTCCGGTTTCGACCTGAATGCTCACATATGGTTTGCTGTCCCGAGGATTGGCCATTAGACACGATGATTCTACATGGCACATCGGCAATTTTATGACGGCCATGGCTGCCCACGCTAGATTCTGACCAAGAGCGGTCAAATCGGGCTCCTTTTGCTATATGTCAAACTAGGTAACCATCCTGCACGTAAACACCAAGTTCCAAAAGTCCAAAAATCGCCGTCGTTGGGTGTTTTCTGGAGGCGACCGCGGCCTGTCGTACAAAAACGTACAAAACAATTCCATTTGCGCTCGAGTCAATTTTATCTTGGGATCTAACTCATAGCTGCGAGCAATCGAGCCCTGACACAATGAGCATCCAAGACCTGGCGCAGACTCACTGCAATACTATACAACATGCCACACAACAGCTTGAGCATCCAAGGCTCGATACTACCTCACCGCAGGAGGAACGGACTGCTCGTCCTGCCGTGCGACGCGCAAGGCGGGGTGCCAGGGGACGGGGTCCCGGCAAACGCCTCAGCATGAGAGATGCTTTCGTTGACGGAAGCACCCTGCTCCGAGAAGCGGCCAGGCTTGCGAGGTTCGACGGCATGTCTCTAGACTTGTGCTTTTGGGACCCGGGCTGCTCGTCATGGGTTGGTGTGGAGCCTCGACCTTCTGGCGTGATAAGCCGCAGTATTAGAGAGGTACGTCTTGGTGGTGGCCGCTTTACCCAACACTACCCGATAACTGACTATGTCCTAAAGTTCGAGGATGGGAGAGCGAGATTCCAAAAATCGTTGCGCTCTCTACATAATAGATTGGCCAAATACGTCGAAGCATATGGTGTCCCTTGTCGTTTTAAATGTTTCGACCCGTTCAAGGAACAATGGCTTGTCACTATCGGGGCGCCTGCCGGCTGGCTCATGGATTCTCAGGATTGGAAACGCGCAGTGAGTATAGACCTGAAGTAAAACACCAAACCTCACAGCTGCTTACGAAGCCTGAATAGTGTGAAAGTCGCTTGCCCTATGAAGCAAGATGGGAAGCGCGACGCGATCGGGAGATGGCCGACCCAATCTCGACAAGTTCTCAAGATGTAACGAGGAAGGGAGGGCGAGAGGGGGAGAGAGAGAGTGTGTGAGAGAGAGAAGGAGGAAACACCACTAATCTTGATGGGTGATTCGACCAGCAGATCTATGTGATGGTTCGGACACCTGTGAGTCTAACTTTTAGACTGTATCTACAACTGCGAATAACACATCTCACCAACACATGTAATTGGCCGACATCGTGTACAAACACCAATAAGCTGGTGCGTTGTCAATCAAAACATATTTTCGCATCTTCTTTACAGTAGAAGAACGAATATTGACAAGCAAGCAATCGTGATCCGAATGAATACTACATGTGTAGACGTACAGTAGAGACAGGGAGTGTGAATACGATGTGACGACAACCTTTCCTGTCTGTTTCAGGATCGAGAGCGTGTTTGGATCGATGCCCCTACCACAGAGATGTACCGCTCGATCGGGCTGCCGCGCATCCCATCGTAGCAAGACAACTTAACTCGGACGCATCTATGGACGGGGGCCAACTGCTAATGGTGCTTGTCAGAGGTACTGTGCCAACAGTAACACAAATTTCGTCCAATTTTGTCTGCACTCTTTCTTCTGATGTTACAGGAGTCCTGTGGTCTTATGGCCTAAAGTATGCGTGAGTAGTTCCTCTCGATATCGATGACCGAGATCCATTTTTGAACAGCTTCAATAACCACCGTATATCTGGTTGGGTGTACGTGAATGGTGACGCGAGAGCTGTGCGTATAGTTGTATAAGATGAAGTCAAGGCATCTCAATGGCAAAAATTCGAATATAGGAAGAATAAGCCTATACAGGAACTACACCTGCATTTAACCCGTCGACAAACAAACGAACCAAGCCATGCCATCGCTTGACCAAGAGATGACGTGCGCCACAGGTCATCAAGACTTTGGTCATCACCAAGCGCCCAACCATCAACGAACATCAGTTATCAAATGCGACATTCTCATCATAGGCGCTGGCGCTGCCGGCTTAGCAGCGGCCGCCGCGGCGCATGATCCGGGGCTCAGAGTCATCCTCGCCGAGAAGGAAGATCACGTCGGCGGCACGACTTTCAGGTCCGGTGGCTGCATGTGGATGCCCAACAATTTCCTCATGCAGGGAACTGGCATCGAAGATAGCAAAGAACAAGCCGCCCGCTACATCAATGCTGTGGCGAAACTTACATGCTCAAGTCTTGAGGAACAAGCCTTCCATGGGCGCCTACGTGATGAGCGTCTCGACGCATTTTTGACGCAGGGACCCGAGATGATGAAATACTTCAGAGACCAGGGCTTCCGATGGATGGCCAAACCGTCCCAGTTTCCAGACTATCACCCGCACATCGAAGGTGCGGTCCACCATGGTCGCACCCTGGACCCCGCGGTTTTTGATGCGGCAAGCCTAGGTCACTACCAGAAATACCTTCCAAAACCAGATGGCGCACCCGTGATCCCCCGATTCGAGGACTTTCGAGTCTTGACAAGGCTGCGTTCCTCGGGGCAATGTCGTGCAGAAGTTTCGCCTCTTCCAAAGGGAATGTCGAGGCCTGTGTCAATGGGTCGATCACTGGTCGCTCAGCTCCTCAAGGTGTGCAAGGAACATGACAATGTGGAAATCTGGACTCGATGGGAGCTGAGTGAGCTCTTGCTATCTGGGCATGATGGTGGTGTAATAGGAGCAAGGGTTCAACGCAGAGGCAGTGACGAATCTGTTGACATCCACGCATCGCTGGGTGTGATCTTAACCACAGGAGGTTTCTCTCAGAACCAGGAGATGAGGGATGCATACCTCGCGGGAACAGCCACGAGCGAAGCAACTTCAGGTATGCCGACCAAGGCGGAATGGAGCCTTGCATCTGACGGAGACGCCGGCATCGCGCTGCGAGCCGGCCAAAGGATCGGTGCTGGTAGCGCACAGCTCGGCCAAGTCTGGGGTATCCCCACCATGATCGATCCTAGGACAGGGAAAGTGACGGAGGCCATGTTTGCCATATCCAAGCCGTTCTCTATAGTAGTCGATGGCCGTGGCCGCCGCTTCTTCTCCGAGTCGCAGCCCTACGGTGAGGCCGTTAGGTCCATGTATGAGAGAGCGAACGAGGACGCAGAAGCGGCCACATTCTGGCTTGTCTTTGACCGGAGATACAGAAGAAGATATCCCATTGGGAGCCTCAAGAGCACCTGGCAGATTGACCAGGCTGTCGAACAAGGCTTGCTCTTGCGCTCGGATACTATTGACGGCCTAGCTGAGCAGATGCATGTGCCGAGCCGCAACCTGCAGACGACGGTGGACGAGTGGAATGAAATGTGTGATCAAGGTCGAGATAAGTATTTCCATAGGGGCGAGGACAAGTACCAGCAGTTCATCGGTGATCCAACTGTGGTGCCGAACCCATGCATGGGCCCTGTCAAGGAAAGCCCCTTTTATGGCATCAGAATCTTTCCCGGTGATGCTGGCACGAGAGGCGGTCCTCAGACTGACCAGTTCGCAAGAGTACTGAGGGCAGATGGGAGCGTGATCTCCGGTTTGTTTGCTGGAGGTAACGCATCAGTTGCGCTACTTGGAACTCAGGGCGCGGGAACGACACTCGCTCCTGCGATGACCGAGGGTTTTATCGCGGTGAAATATATGCAGCATCTAGCTCGTGGCAGCGGCGTAATCGTCGAGGATCGGTAAAAAGAGGCAGTCCAAGAAAGTGTGTCTGGTGACATAGCCAACATCGCCTGTATGCTCTGCCGCAGCCGGCCCAGTTATAGCGATAGATACCACGAATGTACGAAGAGGAAGTGGCAGAATTTGATACCGGGTGTGGGGCGATACGGCCGTGTATATTAGTCGGTAAATGAGTGAAGACTTGACCACAGGCCTTCTATACTGTACAACGTACTCCGCAATCTACGTCGTGATGGTTGCAATTGTCCTTGTTGTATCCCATGGACGTGAAACCACCAAGGCACTCTTGATCAAACTCTGTCCACCCGAAACGCTTGCAGCTTTTTGCGTCACAATGACGGAAGGGGATTGTCATCTCTTACACGGACGGTCTCCTTATTCTTGCTTACTGCATGGTTTAGTCGCAGCCAACCCTTTTCCTCTTGAATGTGAACACTTGGCAGCGCGCCACACTAGGCCCCAAAATTCTCTACTTGGTAAAAGAAAATTGCGACATTTTTATATTTAATGGAACATTAATGGGAGTAGTTCGTACTCTAGCATTGTTATAAATATGTACATATCTTGAACAAGATAGCCGAGTTATGCAATGAGTTCCTGTTACGTCGAAACTCAATATGCAGTCGAGGTACGCAACAATGAGTAGAGATGGTCCCAAATGCGTGCCCTCGGCGAGATCACAAATAACTGGGTTGAGCTCATCGGCAGTTTGAGCTTCTTATCTTGAAACATGCAAGTGCCCATGTTTAAAAGCAAGTCTGGACTTTTCATAAACTCGTGATAACCGCCGTTCCATCGTGAATGACTGGTTTCATTTAACCGTAGAACCAGTAGAGAGTGGTGTAAGAGGTGCTGTCGGTGCCTTTGGCCTTGCAACCGTGAGAAGCACCACCTGCGGTCAAGACGCGGTAGACTAGGGAGACGCCCTGGCTGCCACCAGCATCCCCCAGGTAGAGCCAATCAACAGCGCCGGTACCTTCAGGGCCAGCGGGAGCAGAAGCGGGAGCCCTGATACCGTCTATCTTCTTAGCAACGAAGAGCTGGCTGGCCTTGTCGAGGTCGAAAGTGGGGACACCAGCAGCGTTAAAGAAGTGGCGACCAAGGTAGGGGATGCTTTTGCGGAGACCTTCAACCTTGAGAGGTTGTTTCTTGGGGAAAGGATTGGTGAGCGAGGCACCACCGTCATCATTGCGATTCAGAGGGACTTTTCTGGTATTAAGAACATCAGAAGGGAGAGAAGCCCATTTCTTGGCTTTTAAAGACGAATGAGCTTGACCTGGATAGAGGCAGGTAACGTCGTAGAGCACAGCCAAAGCACCGATGGCTGCAGGGGTAACACCAGCCTCAGCGCAGCTAAAATTCTGAATACCAAACCCAAGGGCAATGTGCTTTAGAGTTACATCTCGAGGAGGAGCGGGGAGTTCGGAAGCTGTTGGGCGTGTTGGTGAGATACAAGACGTTAAATAAGGTTAAGGGTGGATCAACACTTACGACCGCCATTAACAGGAAGCACAGGTACAGGCTTTCCATATTCACAGCTAAAACTTCGGCCATGATATTCAACAGGTGAGGCTAGAGCCAAAGCAGCTGAAGTAAAGATGAGAAGAGAGCTAGCGAGCATAGTGAAGGCGGCGAGGTGCGATGAGGTAGTTGAATGCAACTTTGGGAGACGTCAAACATATGACAACGTATAAAGGGAATCGAAAAAGGAAAAGAAGAAAATACAATGTTTATCAATTTTGTAGATCACCAATAAGTTGAAGAAGCAGACGATACTATGGGAAAAATGCAGAAGTGGACTACAAGAGAGCAGGCTTATATACAGGCCTCGGCAATAACAGATACCGCGCGACAAACTGTGCTATAGTACATACGAGCTGTCTTCAGGTGGAAATCAAGAGTTTCCTGTTACGCCCAATTCCTTGGGCTCGTAGCATAGCAGACTGGCTGAAGGACTAAGAAGAGAGAAGGAAGGTGGGATCGAAAAAGGGGCAGAAAGCCGGCGAGCATTACGTCCTAAATCCTACCTCATCACCTCTTGGATCATTACCTCGACTGCTACCTTTGGTAGCCAATTACCCAATCTCCAACTTATATTCGAGGCACGCAGTATCCTACCATCCTCCATTGCCATGATGACTGATATCGTTCCTTGAGATCCGTCAAAACGATCTTGAGGCTGTTTCAAGAACTTCCACCAACGCCAGATCTTTTAAAGAAAAAAAATATCTCTGCGGGAAAAGCCATCCTGTCCGAAGGGATTTCTATATTCTGACCGTATTTTGGACAGATTTCGAATGCGTAGTCAATCTTGGATGAGTCCTTCCTGTAGCTTGTGATGCATTTGTCACCGGCTTTCATTGTTCTATCAAATATCTACAATCCTTTGCCATGTTCAATAACAGTTCACCATCCTTCTGCTTGAGACCGAACATGACTGAATCGTAAAGGCATTTAGGCAAACTTGTCTCTCCTCCATTGTATGAGTTTGTAGCGGTCGTGGTCTCCAATGTTGTCTTTGATGGCGAAGTTACGAACGTAGTTGTTTCTGTCGACAAATTTGTTGTTTGTTTGGCTGTCTGGTCTGCCGAATCAGTATACGGCGAAGTGACGCCCTTAGTCGTCGCCCTCATCGTCGTTGTCGCCGAAGTAGGCAAAGACGAGACGAGCGGGTCGGGCGCTGCGTCCGCCTTCGCGGTCTTAGTTTGCGTTGATGTGTGTTCAGTGAGAGTAGTGTCTCTCAAGACTGCAGCCGATCCAGTTGATCCGTGCGGTTGTGATACTATCGAAGTGGTAGCTGTATCTGTAGTCAAGATTGATGGCGGGCCAGTCTTAGCTCCTCCTGAGGGCTTCTGAGTTGAAAGGTCTTCGGACGAAACTGTGCGTTCTTCCTTGAACGAGCTGCCACTCGGTTTCTCCGTCTTGCTATCATGAGAGTCATCTGTTCGTGGAAGCGTTGATGTTGTTGACGATGGCGATGATGGTGCCGTCTCTAATTTGGTCGTGTCGGTGATTGACGACCGAGCAGATGACGCTTCGGTTGCCGACTCCGGAGTTTGTTCATTCTTACTCACCGTATCCGTGATTTCGGATGACACGGCACTGGACGAGACATCTGAGAGTGTTGATGTCCCTGTAACTTCGTCGATTACAGTGGCGTACGATGAGGCCATATCCTGCCGAGCGGTTGAAGTTTTGACCGCTTGATCTCCACTGATTGTCGGTTCCGTTTCAGGCACATCTGCTGACTGAGTGGCCTCGGACGTGGCCGAAACATCCGAATGGTCACGCTCACTCGTATGAGCGAGGCTGTCTTCTTCATCTATTGACGATGGGGCTGTAGGCTTCGATGTTGCACTGCTCGGTACGTCACTTATCGACTCTGTTGGCGTATGGGCTTCAGGTCTGGTGCCAGTCTCTTTACCTTCTGTAAAAGGCGGGTAGGGCGTGCCGGCAGATTGAGTTTCACCCGCGACCGATGGAGACGATGGATGAGAGTCATCGGCAAACACGGTGCTAAATCTAGTGCTAGTCTCTACCGTCTCATACATGGTGCCAGTTGATCGATGACGATACCCATCAGCATCGGCAACGGACGTGGATTCGGGAGTTTCTTGTGTCTCAGTTGTTGGATCTACTATGGAGGTGTCCGACATATCCTTAATGCGAAGGGAAGGCGGACATCCATCGGTCTACTTTCCTGATCGGGATGGTCTGATTGTGACATTGTAGCTTAGTTCGGGATAAATTAAATTTATATTTGTGGTTGGATTGAGCGCCTCGAATTCTGGTTCAGTGATCCCCAAATCCCACATGACTACCGCAAAGTTCTGGCCTCTCTCTGGATGCCACAAGCCTATACCGCTGGGATAATCGCACCTCGCGTGAGCTAGGGCGACCAAGGAAAGAACAATGACTGACTTCATCGTGAGGTTATCCTACTTCAGCATGCTAGGAATGAGACCAAACTGACGAAAGGGCTGGGACCTGAATTATATCACTGCTTCTCGTCGCCAAGTCTCTTAATGGACGTTCGGTAGAACCTGAGGTAGCCTAGTTTCCATTGGCGGCAAGAAGCTCCACCGTCCAAAATCGAGGGTCGATCGGAAGCAGGGAAGCGAGATCAAAAGCCAGATCGACACCAAAGTTCGTTTAGGGCTAGCAGATTCCGATATCCTGGAAAGTCAATGCAATTATCATGTGAAAGGCACTAAAATATGGCAGTCGATACGAGACACTATAGATTGATGATACGCAGAGCGTTGGTACGTCCATCATTATGCGCATTGGCATTCACGAAGGCCAAATTTCACTTTATTCGGTGCTGGTCATCAGCGACCCCACTGGGCACGCCGAGATAGGCTGCATGGAGAGTAGGAAGCAGCAAAAGTGGCCTTCATATTCTTCAACTCCAGCAATGGCATCAGAACTCTAGATAGCTTTACTATGCCATAATAAAAGAAAGACGGAAAAAGAATAAGAAAGGGGAGGGAAAAAATAAGAGAAAAAGAAACAAGGGTCCGTTCAGTTTAGAAAGGGGACCAAATGCGATCAGTTAGAATCAGAATATGTTGTATTCGATTTGATGATGCTGAAGGCTGGCTCTGAATAACTTACTTCATCGGTACCAAATGGCTTCGACTAATCATAAGAATATACGGTGCTCTCGAATCTCTCCACAGATGCGGCCAATCGTGTCTGCAGACGAGCTTCCCAATACATCTTCTCCATCAGGTTGTGAGAGTATGGTGCTATCTCGCTCCTCCCGCAACACAAATTCATCTCTCTCTATAAAGAGTCTGTCGTCTTCTGTTTGATGGTGTCCTGGAGCCCTAAGTGGGTTCTCCTGTGTAGCAAATCGTAAGGCTTTGCGAACGCCGTGAATAAGGTAACTGATGGCTAATATTTCGATAACCTTGGAACGCTGAGTTTGGGGAACCATGCAAGCCTGGGCCTCAATAACGCTGCGAGATATCTCTATCCTCGTACGATGCGTGCCGAACCTCTGATCGAATGTCGAAATCACTCTCGCCAAATGGTGTTCGAGGTGCTCGCGGATATAAACATCAACGTGCCCGGACGCAAGGATTGTCTGTATCATGCTATGATATGTATCAGAACGCCGCATTGCATCTCGGTGAAAAAGAAGCAAGGTCGCTGTCATTCTCTTGCATGAAAAGTTTTCTTCATGAAAGTTGAGAGCATGATTCTCGAGTTGCTGCGCCATTATCGCGTTGGTATATGAATCGGCAGTTGACACGACGTTGTGAAGGGCGACAAATATCGGAATAGTTGATGGTACCTAGTTAAGGGTTTCAAGCTAGCTTGGCGATGAATTGAGTGGTTGCTTGGCTCTGGATGAAAGCAGGGCTGAAATGCGAACCAGAAGTTTTTCTTCAAACCAAGTCCCTTATATACCTCAAATTACCTTAGCAATATACCAGGTCAGCGAGATAGAGTCAGCCCAGAGTTTCAGTTATACAACATCCACCTCTATGATAGATTATGTAAACGAACTACGCTATATTCTGATGCATCGAGCTCGGATTAGACGTTCTAAGATCATACTAACCATTCCCGCTTCCAATAGTCTAGGGTAAGTGATAATGTCCGTTCACAACACCAGACCTCTCAGCCTTCACTAATGTATGGCCCGGGAATCGAGGCCGAATTAGGCAGAAGGAGCAGAAGGCGATACTCCCCTGGTGGTTTTATCAGCAGTTAGCCTGAACAACAATGCCTGTTCACAACAAAGTTTGTTCTACAAATAAAAGACTGAAGGGGTCACTTTGAAAGGTATAACGTATTTGATAAGCGAGTGTCCCAGATAAGCGAGTGTCCCAAAAATCCTAACCTTCTCAATTAAATCAGCAATAAAAACACCACAACCTATTAGATCAATTAAAATCAGTCACTATACTCTTCCATATTAACCTCAATTACCTCCTGACAGGTCCTTGCATTATGCCCAGCCTTGCCGCAAGTCCCACAGTGCCAAACCCTCGGTCGACCCGAACTTCCTTGACCACCACTTCTCGACGACTCGGCCGCTACCTGCGTATCAACATCCATCTGATCAATTACTTGTGATGCCTCTTCTATAGTTAAAGGTCCTCCTCTCTGT